AATTAATTTCAATCAAGAAAGCATAACAAAATCGCAATTGAAAGTAGCTTCAACGTATTAACAATAATTAAATAAATGTATTCTCTTCAACTAGCGGGCCGTCTGCGACTTCATTGGCGTTAACCTATTTTTTTTCAGAATTCCAATGGAATCTAACATTTTTCCGAGATAGAAAGTATCCTATGTCTCAATCCAGGTCGTAAACAGAACTATGTGCGTACCGAATTTCATCCAAATCCATTCAGTAGTTTGTGCGTGATTGAGTAACAAACATACAAAATTTCACATTCATAATACATATAATAGGATAGGATTGCTGTGCTGCATCTGATTACCGTGATATCGTCGCAGCTTTTTCAACCAGAGATTAAGAAATAATTGATGGCAGTTTGGCATATTTCCAAGTAAAGACAAAAGGAAAAGGAATGTATGTAATTGGCAGAGTATAATGATGCTTCAACGTTATTATTTGTACCAGACATTTATTATTTACAGGGACACTTGTCTTATAAAAGATTATCAATATTATTTACTAGTTTCACAACCAATCCCTGAAGGGTGGCCTGGTTCCAGGCCTCCATGGAGTGGAGGATGGGGTCATGGTAGCCAACGATGCCAGAGATATTTTTGGTATTGCAACCGTCTATAGACTGGTGGTCATCAGTAGGGTCAAAGTCTTGTTTGCCACCCTATTAACTCAAAAGAAATCTTAGCGCGAAGCGTCGTACTTATTGTGCCTGTAGAGCAGACAGGTGTTCCAATTCGAGTGGAACCCACTATGCCATACCTCTCCTAGTTGGAGTGAGGGCCTAGAGCCTAGGATGCTAACGCAAAACAGGCGCCACAAGGACATCGAGTTGGACGGAACGCCCCTTGGAAGAAGAAGAAGAGGGCCTAGTATAAAGTCCTTTTTAACTCTCAGCACACAACCTCAGGGCAGTAAGCAACCAAAGGAGCATACAATCCTGATGTCACTTCTAAGTATAAACTGTACTAAGTGATATCATGCAACATTTCAAATCAATCTGTAATGTTTTTATTATGTGAATAAAGGAAAAAAATATGTGTCCAATACTTTTTGATAATCTACCTGAGGGAAAAATAAATGTTAGTCATCCCACTTTAGGCAGGCTTGTTGGCTAGTTACAGTAACAGTTCTCATATTTTATGTGGATTAAACTTTTTTTTACATTGAAGAACACAATTTTTATAAATCAATCAGAGCAATATTCATATGACCAAGTACAGTTACAAGAAATTAAAAGAAGTCCTAAGCTACTGGTAAGTTTTGATGAAAAATTTTTAGGCTATTCAAAAGAGTTGCATTATACTTCCAGTTTAAATATACATATTTTTTATTATTTTAGAATCAACGGCCATTGTCTAGCCTACTTAGTAGTCAGGGTTTCATGATATTTATCCTTATTATAGTTACAATTTAAATCAATTATAAATTTTTGAAGTGCTCATACCAAAACTTGTTTTTACTTGTTTATTGATATGATCAGCTAGACAGTGGTTCTTAACTTTTCCCTTTGTCATTATCTGTGAATGGACCACTACTTAAGATTTGTACCCAGACCACTACGGGGGCTTCCAGAGACTACTGTGCTAGAGAAAAATTAAATATATCTAGCAGTTAGGCTATTTTAAAATATTCTATATTTTTGTTTTGTAACATTGAGGTCATTGTCCTCAAACTTCTGCACTTGTAAATGTGAAAATTACCAAAAAAATACATTATTAAATTATTTTGTTTTGTAATACTCTTGTACAAGTATGGAACACATCCTGATATGTTTTGTTCTAAATAATTGGAAATTCAATAAGCATTTTAATAACTATTTTTATGTTTGGTACCTACCTACTTATACCAATCATGAGTATTAGACAAAAACGTCTGGATTTACTTAAATGGTAATTTATAATTACGAAGATCACGAAATCCTTTATTAAACTTGAATACTAAATTAATTTAACAACTCTCTATGAATGTTCCTATTAATTACAAACATAAAATCTTAATAATATAAAATGTGTACTTACTAACGCCACTCGCACAAACATATTTTATCACAATATCATTCATCATTATCAACTTATCAGTCCCCTGAAAAAATGAGTAGGTATAAGCTAACCAAATAATAAATAGCTAAGCTCACCTGAATTAGGTTGTTCCAAAATAAGCACAGTAGATAAACTTTTGTTTTTTTCGAAAATACTCTTGGCCTTCGAACATGTCAATTCGTACTCGGCAGCAGTCACATGTATCAAACTTACGACGAACAATAAATACAATATTTGGTTCCGCAGTCTCAAACCTAAAATCGATTTTTTGTTAGGCGACAGTTTACCACAACACTCTTTCACAGCCATGTTCACGGATGGTTTTTCCTTCCAATAACAAACTCGAGCACTTAATATTAATTTATACTTTGCATAAACAAAGGCGAATGGATAATTTATTTTAGAATTAATTGCTTAAGCGGTAATACACACGCTACGCGACGTAACCCAACAAATAGTCAACTGCGGTCCATCATGGCCACAGCTCAACTGCGCGGCGCGCCGGCAAGTGTTGCCAGGTTATAATTTAATTTTACTCTGTACACGGTCTCAGTTTACCCTAGATTTCCAGAAATTTTAAAAGTTAGTGTGCACTATTTGAGGAAAGAGTCATTGACGCGAAAAAGCCGTTCGACTCGCTTGTGAAAGTTAAACAACATTCACTATCGTCACTCATTTAATAAGAACAAAAAAGTTATCATTTGATTGAGCTCTAATTTACTTAGGGGCCATCCATAAATTACATCACACTTTTTAAACACGATTTAAAATTCATATTATTTAAAAAAAAGTATCTGTAATTATTTGTTTCTAGTAAAATTACCACTACATTTAAACAGCAATACAGTTAAATGCTTAAAAAAACGTATCTGTTCATTTTATAATATAAAACAAGCTTTCAAATGATATATCGTTTTGTAGCTGCCTGAAACCGACTACCTACCACTTTTGAACCTTAATATCAGTCACTCCGTTCATTTTGTAAAGAGATGAACTAATTATAGGTTAACACCTCCTATATTCTAAGTCTGTGGTTAACATCAGTATCATGCTAGAACCGAAACCATAATCGAGCAAAACTGCTAGAAAAAACGGCAATAAAATATGTGTGAGTATCATGAACTCCAATACGAACTGATCCCGCAAGGCGAGTGATGGCCCAACCTTCCTATTCTATTATAATTTAAATATAAAAAAATATCCCAGTCCGAAGTGTGAAGAATAAGCCCTGTGTGAAATGGACCCAGTGTGGAATGAGCGCAGTGGGCACAGAGTATATACTTTTATATATAGGGAAGGTGGCAGTGGGAACGCTCCCGGTTCATCATTCACCAAACAAAACTGTAAGCCAAGTCCACAACCACCGCTATCAGTCGTCACACACTATGCACACACTTCACTGCCCATCTAGCTATTCGCCTAGGCCTCACCGCTATACCGTTCGAATAGGAACTTTGTTCTAAGCACGTCTGGTGTATGGGTACGGCCACAGTGCACTCAAATTCAGACTCAGAAAACAAGCGAGCCACTATGGCCGCCCTGTTTTAACTACACTGTTTATTTCTCGCGCTTGTTTTCGGAATCTGAATCTGAATGCACTCTGGCCGTAGGGTACGGCCACAGTGCACTCAGATTCAGAATCGGATTCAGACTCAGAAAACAAGCGCGAGAAATATACAGTGTAGTTTAAGCAGGTTGCCTGCTGCCACTATGGCCACCCTGCTTTAACTACACTGTTTATTTCTCGCGCTTGTTTTCGGAATCTGAATCTGAGTGCACTCTGGCCGTACCCGTACTCGTACCCTTTATTTCTCGCGCTTGTTGTCCGAGTCTGAATCTGATTGTGAACCTGCGTGCACTAGACATGGGCGTTTTTGGTTTTGAACGCAAACGGATATTTATCGGATTTCAGATTTCAAAATCGATTTTAAAATCCGTTTTTAGATATCCGATTTCAGATGTGCTGAACTTAGCCAATTCACTAGTTTGTGTTATGATTTGGTTTTATTAGCTAACGACAATCACAAACAATTCATTGTAGGAAGCAAGGATACTCGTAGATATTCGCGATTTTCCTTCATGCTTTAAATCTAGGCTTAGGACTAGCAGAAAAGTTATGTTTACGGTTAAGAGTAAAACTTTTGCGGCGCATTTAAAAATCGGCTTTTATACAATGATTTCTTTTTACATATTTTTTAGTATTTTTATTTGTTATTCTGTTTGTTTTTATTATTTTTCAAACCATTTACAAAATCAAACCTAATTACTTCAGGTTAGCGTCCAAAAATGTAAGTTGCTCGACTTTTGATGTTTTTAGACGACATATCTTTTCAGTGATAAATAATCCCGCCTCAGAGAACAGCAATAGATTTCCGTAAACAGCAAATCGAAATCGGAGTTCCGAGCACGAAATCTGACTTCCGAAAACGAAAGCACGAATTTCGAATCCGATTTAGATTTGGATACTTGTGGTATTTGGTTTTGGTTCGGTTAGATTTCTGAAATCGGATTTTTTTGTTGAGAAATCGTTCGGTATCGATTTGTGTTTGAAATCGGATTTTGGATTCGTTTTGATATATCGGACGCATGCCTAGCGTGCACTGTGGCCATACCCTATGGGAGCAAACCTAAAATATTTCTTTTAGTTTTTAATTATTTATTTGTAAAGTAACTAAACAACTAAATATGCTGTGAATATTTTAAGCGTCTACCTGTTGCAGCTTATAAGTCGAATTATCGGTTTAAATTGTTAAATAGCGATTAAATAAGGGGGCTGCGTTCAGAACATACGTTTCAGTTGAAACTAATGTCAACGCTGGCTTAAGCTCCATAGATTTTGTCAAAATTTAAAACAGAGTAAAAAGTTCACTCTAGAGCGAAGGTAGTGATCGTAGCATAGTTTCTGAACGGAACCCTGTGGCTAGATGTCAATGTCAAACTGGAAAATGAAAGCATGAGCTTGTTGTTCTTGTCATTCGCTGCTCATTTCATTCCGAAGTTTTACTTTGGTGGTTGGTGCAGTTTCAAAATATTTAATTTAAATTACCTGTCTTTCCCGAAATACTGATAATTTCTGCAGTTAGACTTGTAGGGAAGAAAATTACTAACTGCCTATAAAGTTTTGATTGTTGTCATTGTAACATTATTGTCAGGAATTTACATAACACCGGCGATATCATGAGGATTTGTTTGTTAAAAACTGTGTCAAACACATTTAATAGAAGATTTCTATCAACGACAAACTATAAAAAAGTAACACATTGCATATTTGATTTGGATGGGCTACTTTTAGGTGAGGGGAATTCAATTTGACCTTGTTTTCTTATTAATATTGTCAATGTTATTCATTGGCAAGGTTACATTTACACATGAACTTATATAATAATAAACACGAGAGCCAACACTGAAAGGCAAATCGAATAATATATATTCTAACTAGTTGCTTTAGATACAAATTTGGAAGTTAAATTGAATGAAATAAAAATAAACAGATTATGATGACTTTGAAACAATTTGATAATGTTATTTAAAAATTTATGTTCTTTTTAATATTATATAAATTTTCATTTCAGACACTGAATTCGTTTACAAGAAAATGGTAACACAAATATGTGCCAAATATGGCCATGAGTACACAAATGAACTCATGATGAAAGTGTTGGGTGGCACTGAGCAACGTCTATCAGAGATTCTGTGCAAAGAATTAAAACTTCCCGTGAGTCCTAAAGAGTTTAGAGATGAACTTCTTGTTCTGGGCGATACCATGTTGGCAGGAGCACCATTGCTGGACGGTTTGTCATTTGAATAAGTATTACATTAGAATCAGGCATCTTTAAAACAGTTTGATTTGAGTTTAAAACAAGGAAAGTTCATAATGTAGACACTTAAATAATTACTACTCAGTTTTGTTTTACTTGGTGGCTTGATAATTTAAGCAAAAGAGAAATAGATTTCAGTGTGGGAATTTATGTACTTTTTTTAAATTTCAATTTGTATGAAATAATATAGACCTGTATCTTATTTATTATATATATCTTTATTGGGGTATAAAACTCAAAGTATTGCTATCTTTGATAAAAACCTTGATAGGGTGAAATGTTGTAACAGTAAATATGTCATCAATATAACAATGATTTGTAAATGCAGTATTTTCTTCACTAATAATTAATAATTTACTTAGTTTTACAATATAACAATTTTTTCTTTTATTGTAAAAGTTGCAGTATTATTGAATAAATATACAGTGGATTTCGGGTATAACGATGATGAAGGGACTACTCTATTCACATTGTTATATCCGGAAGTCATTACAGGCAAAGGTAAAGAGAATGTATTTCTTTATTCTACACATGTATTGTTTATATTCATTTAGAAATGATTTCTGCCTTTTCTTAAAACAGTGAATATGCGTTTAGCAGTCTTACTTATTCAAAAGTTTACTAAACCCAGTTGCTACTCAAAATATCACTTTGTAACTGAACCATAAATTTAACTCCGAAACATATATGCTTCCCTACCTACTTAGCTGATATCTATAAACAAAAGGTAAAGATTTCCACACTTGCTGCCCATCTGTTAAGGATGTAAACAAAAGATAAGAATTGTATTTTTGTGTCTTTGGGGGCCGACTCCAAGTATGTTTTAAATTTAAGGAACTTAGATTTAACATCGCTATTGGTAAAAGGTTGCTACAACCAAGCTCGTTATAAGTGAAATCCACTGTAATATGATTAAAGTTCAAATCTGTCTGAACATTAACTTCTGTAGGTAATGGTAAATCTTGAGAACTGAATTTGAAAATATTAAATGATTTTGTAGGAGCTGAAAGACTTATAAGACATCTTCACAAAACGAAGGTGCCGTTTGCATTAGCCACATCTTCCAGTGAGAGGTCTGTACATACAAAAGTAGCTTCTCACAAGGAGTTGTTTACATATTTCCATCACATGGTGATGGGGAGCACAGACAAAGAAGTCAAATATGGAAAACCACACCCTGATATTTTTTTGGTAGCTGCTTCCCGGTTTCCAGACAAACCAGAGCCATCAAAGGTAATTTTTAAATACAGTAAGCATTACAATACTCCTTGTTTTCTGAAGGTTTAACTTGTTATTAACATCCTTCAAACATCCAATCCTCATGGGCATTGTATGGTGGCTTATATTTCATTCATTTCTTTTATGCCCTCTTCTTCACAAGCGAGGCTGCAACAGTGGGGGAATTAATAAGGTTGATGATGATGAATTAATGCTTTCACATAACAAAGTATTACCAAACAGAGAAACAGGAATAATTTATAAAATTTAAGAATTGTATTAAAAATTAACCTTTAAACAATTTACAAGTATTTAATGTAACCTAAATACTGATGTTATGTCAGCAAAAAGCCAATGTTGCCATTGCTTTTTAAAACAAACTACTGAAAAACATGATAGACTTAACATTTTTTTTTTTCAGTGCCTTGTTTTTGAAGACTCTCCACATGGTGTAACTTCAGGGATATCTGCAGGTATGCAGGTAGTCATGGTACCTGAACCCCATTTGGACAAGAAGTTCACTAGTCATGCCACAATTGTATTGCCTACTCTAGCTAAATTCCGACCGGAACTATTTGGTCTACCAGCCTTCCAGTAACATGAGACTATTTTAAAATCACCATTCTCTTATCCTCATATAGGCAATTTGCTCTATGATGAAACCTATTGTTATGAAAAATGCCTTTCAGTAATTTTTTTTGTTCTCTAAAATATTGTTTTTTAACATAAGTTCAGATAATGATAATGGACCATGTCTGACCATTACAAATATTAATAAATCTTAATTGTTTAAACTGAGCAGTTACTACATTTATTTGTTACAGTTATGAAGTGTCTGTTGAAGTAAAATTATAATTATTGATTATCTAGACTGAAGAGCATAGTGAGAAGTCAGAGGGTTTCCAGCGATTTATAAAAACGAGAATGTTGTCCTCAATATGTCTATGTTAAGATGATACAAAGTACATAATTATTTTACAAATTTAACATAAATATCATGATAATATTGTTTTTCTTATAACAGTTAAATGTTGTCATTTAGGGGATAAGAGTTTAATAAAAGAATGTTTTTATTTATTACTGTACAAAAAGTTCAAGCCTTATAATATACGTAACAGACCTAATGCGTGTGCTTGTTATGCCATAAATAAAACTAGCAAGTAAGTTCCCATTGTTAGCCACTGACGAAGAATCCCATTGAGCTGGTCAAAAAAATTTTTATATTTGTGTATTAAAGGTAATTTCGGTTGCAATGAATGCACATAATTATGACGGCGCCATCATTTTAGCCGGAATTTCACTGGATATCATATTCCGACAGCATGGGACACACATAGGGCCTAGGTTTGTTTATTGTATTCTGGTTAACAATGTAAGTGATTGAATTTATTGAGTCACAGCTGATTATTAAGCATCAACAGGTGATTTATATTTATAGTGAAATATAAAAAAAGGTTAATTCTCATCTTTTATTATTTTATATACATTTTTATATCATGTCAGTGAATTCAAGCCAGTATAAATAAATTGGTTGAAGACTAAATCATTTTCAGAATATTGGTATATAACAATTATTACGGGTAATATTTTAAAGATAAATTGGATAATGTGTGGAAATTGTAAATATAATTAGGGTCACAGCTCAAACCATCAACACATTGTCATGGTTAAACAGAGGCTTGTATAGAAAAAAATTGTGAACATTAAATTGCCAAAGTATTGCTGCAATCATGTTGGGTTAAAATTTAAGAATTTATTGGGGGTTTCGCAAAGATCTCTTATTTTTTATATTTGAACAGTTTATTGGTAAAGAACTGAAATACTACTAATAATACTTTAGATAATTTTTATTCTTATATTGAGCCATATTAAGTTAATGTGGCAATTAACGCAAGCATGATCTAAAGATATTTAAAAAATGTACAAATAGTTGTTACCTAATATAAAGTAGATTCATATTCTTGGAAATCATTTTGTTTGTACTAGTTGATGTGATTTTGTACTGATTATGAATAAGTGCAATATCAATTTTAGATTTTGTCCATTTTATAGTGTTGTAATATTTGTGATTTTTACAATGCCTGTTAGCAAGTAGTTAATTGTTGTAAGCATAATAAAACCATATTTAACAAACAAATTTATTTAATTACAACACCCCAGTTCTTCTAAATTGGATACTATTATATTTACATAATAAAAATAAAGTAAATTATTTCACTAACTGCTTGATGGCTGAGAAGACATCACTGGCACCCAAATTAGTAAGAGGGATGCTGCGCTCCATTCCTTTTTCTGAAATGACAATTAGTATACAAGTAAATATACTTAATAAAACTTCGTTTTTTTTTTAAGTTGAAAAGTAACAACTGTACTTCTAACTATACTTACTGACTAATTATTAATGAATACAATATATTTTGACATATTGGTGTTGATTCTAGCATGATTCTCTAAACTTAAAGCTAAATTTAACACCAACCTCTCCTTTTCATTCTGTTTAAAGAATCATGCTAGAATTGACACCATTGATCAGTGGCAAATAGTTTTATCTTTAATCTGAATTTTGAAAGCAATTTCACTAAGGCAATTATATGCAACTCAGTCTAAATGAGTAACTACTTAATCTACCATTAGAATAAAATATTTACTAAGTATAAACATATTCAATATTAACATCAAATGAATCTGTCTAAACACTAACAAGATCTTTTATTCAGAGATTTAATCACAGCCATTACTTGTTCAGAGTTAAAGTCAACAAGAGAAGTGCATACTTCATAGCCTCTTTCTGTAATAAGTAAGGTGTTTACTGTAGAATGATCAAAACTTACATAACTTTTTTATTTCGTATATTCTACACATCCATTTTATAAGCAATAACACCTTTCTAAAAGATAGTATATCAGAAGAATTAAGTAATATTCAGTCATATTTATTTTTGAATTATGTATATTATAAATACATACTTCAGTTTGCTTTTTTCATTTTGGGATTTAATTTTTTTTTTTATTGATTGATAATCTGCTCCAAATGGGGGCAGGCAATGCTGAAGGATTTGCTTATAAAAAGCGATTAATTGTTTTATTTCAACCAGTTTTAACACACCGTGTTAAAAGAACATACCATAGCGAGCCCAAACACGAGGTTGTACTCCACTGCATTCACGGATGAGGATAGGAAAGTTCGGATTGTCCTTCTTGATATTTACATAGTTTTGTTGAATAAATTCTCTGCAATATAAAATTATTTCAGTCATTTCCCTAGCTATAAACTCTACTTGTCAGGCATTGTTTATGTAATCGTAATAAGTTACCGTACTCCAGCTGATTGTTTACTTGTCTGACACAAATGAATCCTCAACTCTTTCAAAACTCCACCCAGTCTCACACCAGACATTTTATTTTTGGTTAATTATGGCTAAAATTAGAGAAAATAATGAAAATTTAAACCTTCAATTCAATCAAATACGATTAAAAAGTAACTTCTTGTAGTTACGGATCCAAAGTATTTCAGCACTCGATACTTTTTATTACGATACCGAGTAAGATTCGATGCTTTTTGGAGTGCTTAACTTTTTGTGGTTGACTTACTAGGTCAGCCCACCCAGCACTCCAAAAAGTAGGGACAATTCTAAATATTTCAATCTTAAACTTTTTTATATTTATATCGCTATTAAAATTATTGACGCGACCGAGGGAAATCCCGATCAAGAATTGAAAAAGTAATGTTACCGGTTGTCCATTTGCTAATTTGATTTGTGGTTTCCGTTATTACGCCTTCAGTAAACCGACGCATTTGCATGCAAAGACGAAATAACGAAAAAACTGTAAGTGTATGACAGTGTTTCACATACGCTGTTTAACTCTAGCACTAGATAGATAAAATATGCGTCCTTGTCCGTATTGTTTTGCAAGGAACTGCGAAATAGAGACGTAGGAGTTTCGCATCGTAAGCCGTCTGCGCGCATTCCATCGGTGAGGACAGATTTCGCACCGTAGAAGCTGAAAATACTGAAAAGTTTTTAAATATAATTCGAATTTATCCTAAATTAGTCAATTTTATTCGCCATTTTGCAGTCCACGAAAATTACAATGACATTTCTTTGCAAAAAAAATCCAGTGTACTTACTTTTTGCAGATATTTCGCTACCACAATAGTTTCGCAAAGATTTGCTACCGCATGTGAATGCGTTGGTGGATTCAGGGATTATTCCCTTTCCACCTGTTAGGCCTCCATCGAGGATAGCCAAAGTGAAATTCATTCATATGTATAATTAGTAAGTAAATGTACTCGATACATGAGTAACTCGATACTTTTTATCCGATACTACATTTCTATTCTATTCTTTTTAATGGAATAGAAATGTAGTATCGGATAACCTACTTGTTGTCATCATGACATTGACAATGACAAAGTAGTAATGTACGATTATGTTCCTTGTGTACGTAAAGTACGAAATCGACTTTTAATAATCTTCTTCTTTTTTCAAAAGGTGGTCACTTTTGTGGGCTCGAGTGATTTGACATGATTTTTGTTTTCTTTATTGTGGCTTGGTTGTTTGGTATTGTCTCTGCCTATTTTTTAAGTATCCACAAGCGCTGCCTTGCAACGTACTCTTTGCTTGCAACCAAAGAAATGCTAGAGAAAATTTGACAAGGACAAATAGGGCCGCGGTAACATAATGGTCAACGAATCCGACCGGCCATAGCGGAGGGTGCGGGTCTGACTCCCTTCTACTGCCATTATTGTCCACTCATATTTTGATTGCTGTCGCTGTGTCATACAATATAAATACAAACAGTGTTCATATTATTTATTATAGATGACATCTCAGGAGTTACGCAGTATAGAGCAGACTTATCCTCACTGGTAGCACCAGAATTTTCACCAGTGGTGAAGACTCGAGCATGATTTTCTAAACTTAAAACTAAATTTAACATCATTCTCTTCTTTTCATTCTAAGGAGTCTGAGGGTAAAACCTTGTTTTTGTTTACTATTACTGGATGGTGTGTAGTGTGCGATGCCGACTCACCCAGACCTGAGGTGGTTGAATAACCTCGGTCACTCGGCCATGTCCTTGGTCACCTCGCGATGCCTGTAACTCCTCGTTTCTCCCCAGAGAGAGGACCGAGAACCGCGGGCTCCGGGAGAGGGAGCGCTGGCTTCGAGCTGTTGTAGGAGCGCCTGTATGCATTACACAGTTCCTGTGGTGGGTGGTGAGTACCCCTGATACTCCAGAGTATCGCACATTGGGGGTAGTCCGGCAATGGACAATCACTTTGTGGGTGGGTGGCAAGTCTCTTGTAGGGCGCCACGTCACCACCCACACTCCCGACACGCATTAGGAGAACGTCAGGTCCTCATAGTGCGTGTCTGGTGACCGGTGTAGGAGTTTTATCTAGTTTTTACTGGGTAGAGCCCTGTTTATTTCACCGAGTCTCTGGGCTGGGTGAAATGGGCGGGAAGTCTTTAAATACCCCGTTCTTGCAACTCTCAGTGGTTCAGGGAGACGTAAAGGTCTTAGCCCACTTACTTATAGGTACGTCTCCGTTCCTATCCGAAAAGAAGCATATAATTCAAATATTGACTTGAGTATTAAACTTTTCATTGGTAACATCAATTAGTAAACAGCTCGGTGTTAGTGAGCTTACCATGCGTTTTAAGCAGTGACGCGTTGTAGCAATGACAACAAAAACACAGTACTGTTTTTGGTGGTTTTCCAATTACAGCACTAGTAGTCCAGTCAATGAAGGCTTAACTTTGCCATTTTGAGTTGATCACCTGCAACCAACGCGAAAATTTCCGCAAGGATTCGTAGATTAATATACTAAAATTGCAGGGTGCTGCATTGACGGTAAAGGGTGCAAAAAAAATGCGAAATAATGCAAAAACGAGTTTTTCGTCAATATCTCGCGACTGGCTGGAAAAATAGAAAAAATTTCTAGTACAAAGTTGTAGAAAATTTAATTTCCTACAAAAAAGGTATCAACATATTTTCGCGTATCTCCCATAGTTTTTGCACAAAATGCAATTAAAGGTGCAAAATAAAAAAAGAAAATATATTGTTCATGGTTTTTTTTCCATTTTTAAACGATCCTACGGGTCAAATTCAACAATCACCACTTACTGAAATATTTAAGGATAAGTTTTCGGCAGTCCACTGAAATGAAAATTGTCTACCGAAATGGTATATCCACAATGACGTTGTTGCGCGTGCGTGTGCTCCAGTGAAGGCGGACTGGCCCGAAGTGAGCACTGACAAGCGGGACACAACAACGCAATCTAGACGAACCTATTTCACAAAAACTTACTGTCCATGGAAATGATAACTTTTTCCAGGACAAAAGTTGAGTGCTTGTTACATGTATAAGGAAGAAGATAAACAAACAGTAGTAGGTTTTGTTGATAGGCTATATTATATATTAATGATATAAAAGTTAATTTCAATCGAAAAAATAAATGTAACTACAGGGGAAGTAATTTTACGAGAGGAATTGGGTTTAAGACAGGTTACCGTGATGATAAAATGCCACTTCGTATTTTTTATTTTATGGAATAGAGCCCATTACTCAATAATTCTTTTTGACAAGGTTGAGAAGTACCTACTTAACTAAGAAAAAAAGTCAAAATGCTTTATTGGGATTTAATTAATATGTTTCGGGCACTTTTTTATTTCCTTTTTCATATAATAATCTTGACAAAAAAAATGATTTCAATTTTATTATATGATAATGTATAAGAATATCTATTGCATATTGCAAATATATGTTTTAAATGCAAATTTTGCGCTGAACACGATGAAATAGAAATAAATGTTAAAGTTATATTGAAATCAATTTTTTTATAAAGTTTATTTTTCGTTATCTTTCTTCTAATATTCGATAATAGTTCACCCAGTAATGTTTATTAGTGATTAATTAAACAAAAAAAATGGGTGCGTGTACTTATGTAGGCGCGTGAGAAGTTATCCTTCTTTGGCATCGTTTAAAATTAGTTTTTAATTGCATGCAAATAATTAATTACAATAAATTAATTTATTATTAATTAAGTCTGGAAAAGGACACAGTCAATAAAGTTCAGTTTTAATTTGAAAAAATAAATAAATAATCAAAATATTCAATTAAAATCGCTACTGAATATAATTTATTAGAACATAATGTGATTTGCACTTGTATGAAACTCAAACACGTATTCCGAATATACAAACTAGAAACATGTGGATAAATATTATAAATATGAATACCTATAACTGTTACTTTATTACAAAAAATAAAGATGTGGTTTTTGGTTCTACTACACCAATGGTCAAGAGATGGCGCTGTAGTCTCCTGAATCGCGCTTTGGTTCCGTTGTTCCAGATTAATAAATACTTTTGATAGGCCTTCACAATGCAGTCGTTAGCACCCACTAAATAGAGATTCTATTTCTATTTTGTTGGTAGATTTTCTTAATGTGCGGTAAACACAAAAATAAACGCATGAAGTTGGTCGACCAACTTCATGCTGTTAAAATTTTGTGTTACAGTGATGCGCGCGCATCTTAAAATTTCACTCTCATCATTTTTTCATAACGCGCCTAAAGAAGTATAACTTCAAAAAAATAACATTGTTGCCCAGCGCGCGATTCAACAATGAATGAAATAAAAGTGAGCAACTCACTCCCTTGCGCGCGATCTGTGTACGGAAGAGACGGTTAAACATGGATAGCTGATTTTAGCTGAAGCATTTTTAAAGTAACGATGTCTAACGCTAATAAATTATAGTGGAAGAAAAGAGTAAGCACCAAGATAATCGATTTTAGCTGAAGTAATTTATAAAGCGTTGAATAAAAGTTATTAAGTAAAAACAAATTAAAATTCGGTATCTTATTCAATAGGCTAGTTGACCCTTTTTGGAAAAAGGTTTTAAATGGTTAATAAATGTTCTATTAGACCGAAAAAAATGTACTGTATTTTTTTGAGACCTAGAAAGCTACAAATCTTTAATTTTAAAATAGACTTTTCATGGACATACCAAAACGCTGCCGGCCATTATAGTCTATAGATTATCTATGCTATGACGTTGACAGTAGTAAACAAAAACTCGTAAGCACGTAGAAAATAACCCATCTGAGTTTATAATAAAAAGAAAACATGATTTCTAATAGATACCACGAAAAATATAGTAATTATTATTATTGTATTGTACGAGAATGTAAAAAAAAATCTTTGAAGACTCCAGGAAAGTTGTGGATTAAAGTGCCGAAAGAAATTAACCTACGCAATATCTGGTTAGAACTTGCTAAAAGGGATCCTGCAACTTTAACGACTCATAGTAAAATTTATTTTTGCGAAGATCACTTTGATGTAAATACTCATTGAATAATATTTTAAGTCTCTTTATTTATTATCAGTTTT